ACATTCCTTCATACAGCTGTCAACAAGTAATAGTAAACATTATCAAACATTCCTTCATATAGCTGTCAACAAGTAATAGTAAACATTATCAAACATTCCTTCATATAGCTGTCAACAAGTAATAGTAAACATTATCAAACATTCCTTCATATAGCTGTCAACAAGTAATAGTAAACATTATCAAACATTCCTTCATATAGCTGTCAACAAGTAATAGTAAACATTATCAAACATTCCTTCATATAGCTGTCAACAGATAATAGTAAACATTATCAAACATTCCTTCATACAGCTGTCAACAAGTAATAGTAAACATTATCAAACATTCCTTCATATAGCTGTCAACAAGTAATAGTAAACATTATCAAACATTCCTTCATACAGCTGTCAACAAGTAATAGTAAACATTATCAAACATTCCTTCATACAGCTGTCAACAAGCAATAGTAAACATTATCAAACAGCAGCTAAATATTAAATACAAGCACTGGAATGTGCTCAGATTGCATCTACATTTCTAACTAAAGTGAACCATAGTAATTGTAAAAAATCTAGGGAAGGGGGGGGGGGGGGAGATTTCCTTCGAAGTCAGAGTGCATCTGCCTGAGAGGCAAGGAACCAACAATGTGCTTGCAAATAAGTCAGGTCTGTAAAATGGATTTGCATGCAACACTCAGGTTCTGGAACAAGTCTAAAGTCCAGAAGTGGATAAACAACCAGAACATTTTGCCAGAGTTTTACAGCTGGTGAAAAAGAAGAAGATTACCAGGTACCATATTAGGCTAGGCAAGGCCAAACAGATGATCATAATTTAAATAACTTCGAACACTTTATTTTTATATAACAAAAGTCCTAACAGAACAGCTGGCTGCCCAGACAATTAGCAAGAAAGCAATAGCAGACAACAGACGTGAAAACATAAAAATATTTATAATCAAAGCTAAGCAAACCGCCAGCAAATAATAAATGAGAGGGGACAAAAATGAACAAACAGAGAAAGCAATTCCTTTCAAAACTTGTCTCTAAGTAATTTTAGTCTGATAAATTAGGTGATGTTTCAGCACTATCTAAATCTCTATTTTTCCTCAATAAGATCAATATAGTAAGAAATACTTTTAAAATGTAATCTAGATATAGATATGATTGAAAAAATGTGTAATCTAGATGTAAAAATGGCCTGATAAGTGACTAGACACAGAAATAGCTTGACACACGTATTATGGATGTAAAATTGTTTGAAACATGTAACCTAGATGAATATTAATGTCGTATGTACATCAAGACTAAGTGTTGACATATATATTTTTTGTTTTCAATAACAATTTGATGTACAACAACAAATGAAATAAAATTTTAAAAATGCAAATGCAGCAGAGCAATATAAAGTTAAGTAAAGCTAAATATTTCTGTTACATAATTTCAAATTAAAATTGTTTAGGCAAACAGCAAGAAAAGGTTTGAACCCTTTCATTATAATCATCTTGTGCCATACGAAAAATAAATTGATGGTTATGGTCTGCCATCTCACATGATCACCAGAAAACAGGACCGCAATGGTACTTATCACAACAAAACATTTAAAATATAACGCAACAAGATTGAAGGATACAGCAGTAAAAGTAGTCCCCTAACAGATAAGTGTAATGTGGTGCCTTCAAACATTCTAGATCAGTACATTATGTGGCGTTTCAAAAACGACCTTGGCTCCCAGGTCGACCCAGCCTTGAGTGGGTACCGGGTGCAGTCCCGGAAAGTAAAGGCGGCCGACGTGATGCTGACCACATCACCCATCTTGTACCAATTGGTCTATAAAAATAAAGGTCTAGCCCTCTATGCCCTATACGCCTAAAGGCGTGGAAAAGGGTCCTTTACTTTACTTTTTTACTTACATAATGTGGCAAGGTGGTGAGTTTTTTTCTTCATCGACTTATCATTCCAAGCCATACCAAAAAATTGACCAGTGCTCAATTTATCAAGGATCTTTCCAAGATTTACCTAATGTGAGTTGGTGTTATCTTTAAGTGTTATCTTTAAGACACTCCAGACACATCCACAGTTGCTCAGTCCCCCTTAAAAAAAATATTTCAGCGTCCTGCAGTTAATAGTGCCAGTCCTACAAGTATGCTGGTTGATAAGATGTCTCATAGGTTCAGTGCGCCTCTCGTGCCAGGCTGTGCCGATCTTTACTCCCAGTACTCGCTTTCTAAGCAGCGATGTGGATGCACCACTCTTAACATCCGCTTACCGACCCATCTCTCTAAGGACTTTAACAACATCAGCATGATCCATAGGATATCCATCTGCAACTAAAGCAGAGCCGGCAAATCTGTCAGTTCTTTCATTGCCACTACAACCCACATCCTCTGAAAAAAATATAAAGATAACTCCACGCACACTAGACTTCTGCGATAGCTAAATCCAATGTCTGTGAACAAAGCCTGTTCATAACATAGCCTAGGCCCAGCCAGATTAACATTTTCCTGGCTTCCTAAGTTGACCCAATAAATTTTTTTTTAAAGGCTACTAGAAAATGTTCAAAGAAGTAAGGCGGCAGATGTGATATTTAAAAAAAAAACACACACACCATCTATTAACTCTTTTATTCCCTACCAACTCCTCAAGTGTGAACATCTACTGCCCATGTATCCTAAACAACGCGTGATGTGATCCTATTTTTTATGAACATTTGACCCGTATTGTTAAAATTCCACATAGAATGTTTTATTCCTTGTGGCTAAGGATTCATTAGGCATCTCCTATGTGATCTTATAGGAGTGAAAGAGTGACATGATGATTGGTATTTCCAAAATATACAGCTAGCATCATATATGCAATCACATCCGTAGGCATGGATCAGTGTCCTTTACTCTGACTTCCCATCTGTCTATCGGGCCATTACTGTGATTGATCACAGACCACTTACACATCATCATCATCACGTATCATTTATACATCACAGGGGGCTCACAGTCAATCCCCTCATTCTCTTGTATCCGGTGCAATGTTTAGGAAATCGTGTATAGAATCCCACCTCACACTTCTGTCCTCTTTCATTGATATTTGTTGCTGAGTTCTTTTCAGACATCTTTATCAGTCCTGTGTTTTCCATTTCAATGCCTTCTTTTAGGAGTTTTGTTGTTGTTGGATGGTTACTGAATGTTAAATTAGTAATTGAAATCCCGGCAATTGGAACATTCCCATATGCACTCTGTCTCCATCTTCAGCAGCAGTTCCAGCTCTGATGGCACCAGTAACAGTTTGACTGTATATCACTCTCACCTTTCCCTTGTTGTTGAGCATTGGCCAGATCCCCTGGTCGCTCCTCACAGCTCCATTCTCCTGAGACAGTGATGATCTATTTGTACCTCCACCCTGTTTACTTGCTCCCAAAGCACTCACTGTTCCCTCTGCTTCACAATATGCAGAGTTTGTTTGCTTCGCCTCGGAATTCGCCCAGCTGCCCATTTCATCAATATGTCATCATTTCACATCAATATGACTGCCACAAAACATAACCGACTGACAGATGTTACATCACAGAAAGACTGGCAATAGTTTTAATGCATCCCCGTGTGGGTTAGGGAGCCCTATTGGTGGTAAAACAAGAATAGACCCACTGCCTACCCAAAAGCATGTCGTAAGAGTCGACTGATTGGGAGCTTCCTTCAAAGTCGGATTGCATCTGCCTGAAAGGCAAGGAACCAGCAGTCTGCATACAAATAAGTCAGATCTGTAAAACGGATGCACACGCAACACTCAGGTTCTTGAACATGACTGCAGTCCAGAAGTGGACGAACAACCAGAACTTTCCGCCAATTTAGTCAACTCTTACGACATGCTTTTGGGTAGGCAGTGGGTCTATACTTGTTTTCCCTATAACAGGGCCCCAGAACCCACATGGGGACAATATAATATGAAAATCATTATTTAATATGACAAGATAGGAAGATAGATACATATTATTTTAATATAACACGATGATACAAGCAATGCTATACTTAAGATATAATATAAAACAATGTCAGTTATAATAGATGACAACACATAAAGGCATAAATATAACAGGAATGACAAAGGTTATAAGATATTTCAGGGTTGTTTTTAAAGTTTCAACACACTTTGTACGCAGAACAAATTTGAAAAACGAAGTATATGAAGTCATAAAAAATATACTTCACAGTCAGTCAGAATGCAGTATGCAGTGAATGTCAGTCGTTTGCTGGAAGAATTCTTTGCACTCAGAACAGAATGGAGTTATCAAAGAAAACAATCATAATTACTATTCAAGAAATAACAACAAAATAAGATGATGCAGATGGCTTGGACATGTTTACAGAATGCCTTGTGACACTGGCAAAAACAGCTCTCCAGTGGACAGCAGATGGGAAAAGGAGACGTGGATGACCTAAGGAAACCTGGAGAAGGACAATAGAACGGGAAATGAAGGAATGTACACTGACATGGGATACCGTGGGCAGAAAAGAAGAAGACCAGCAGCCATGGAGATTACTTGTGAACGCCTTATGTGTAATGAGCAACATGAAGAGGATATGGAAGAAATAACAACAGACATGTTGCAGAAGATATCTGACAATATGAAGAAACGTGTACAGTTGTATTTCGAAGCCTGCACTGGATATTTGCAAGACCTGTTATAATGAATATTTCATTGGTAATTTTCAAGCTTCTCTGAAACAGTGAAAGACCATATCAGTAACCATTATAACCAATTTAATGACTTTTTTAAAGCAGATTTTTTGATGACATCAAGCAGTTTGGTTGTTCAAATTTGTTCTGCACACAAAATGTGGTGAGATTTCACAACAATCCTGCATAATGAGATTCTGATGACTTTATAAGCAACGACAAAAGGGTTGAACAAGATGACTTGAATCTACTGTCTTGTCGCAGATGGACAAAGGCTAGCTATGACACCCGCTGGACATATGTTGGTCCGCTGTCATGTTTCAGTCTTGTGGTGGACTTGGGCAACGGGCTGTTTATGATGCCTGCTGGACTGGCTTTGTGTTTGGCTGCATGCCTCGCATCTTATAGTAGTCTGTGACCTGTTTGGGAACCTCCGCTAGAACATGTCGAGCTAGCTCGACTGGGCTACTCTGTAGAAGACAAGAGCTGAAATTACTAACTGAAAGTTGAATACCCTAGAAATAAATACCCTACTGGCATCTGTGGCTTAGGAACTGCAAACATGATTAGTAATTCTCAGGTACCTGACTCAATTTTAGCTGTAGGCGATTTGTCTGCAGTTTACTTTGTATTGATTTAGTCCTTAGCAATGCAAAGATTGAACAGCTTTAAAAGTCTATGGTTAAGCATCAGCAAGGAGATCAAAATTAGAATTTTGAGAGCATGTATCTTCGCTGTGGCTACATACGGATGTGAGTCGCGGACTATCTCTCAATCCTCAAGAAAGAGAATAGGGGCTTTTGAGCTGAAATGCTATAGATTCTCAGAATATCTTGGACAAAGAAGAGGAGAAATACTGACATCTTGAAAGATCTGAACATCAAGGAAGATTGGCTAATAAACAGCATCCTGTCTCGGAAGCTGAAATATTTTGGTAGTATCAAGCGCCAAGACGGATTGGAAAAAATTATAACAGAAGGCATGGTACCAAGAAAGAGAGGCAGGGGCCGACCAACACGAAGACGGGCACAGGATAAAAGTGACTCCTTGAGTATGAAAGTACATGAGGCAGGAGAACTGGCAAGAGACCGAGTTTCTTTCAGGTAGACTGTGATGAAAGCGATGTTCTGCAAAGGACCTGCTACATGATGGATGGCTTGAGAGTCGAAGGTTCAGAAAGTGACCAACTACTGACCAAAAAATGATGTGTTTGCTGTTGTCCGCACCAACATCTTAACACATCACCCCGACCCATTCATGCCCCGTTCTCTGATGCAGCAGTCATCTCAGTGTCTCCATGCTCAACATACCCAGAAAAATCTGATTGACAATCTTCTTTCTTTTCCCTGCAACTGGTTTCTGCATGCCTTCCCTCCTTTAATTCCCATTTCCAGCAGGTGGTTCATTGTGACACCTTTACTTCAAGGTCTCCAGAAACCGTGCATTTAGTACGTCTGCCTTGTCTATTCTTCTTCCGTCATCACACACTGCAAACATGGCCAGTCTGTCAGCTCTTTCATTTCCTTTCAGACCAGCGTGTTCTAGTGTATAAAGCCACAAAAGTTTCTTCAGTTTCCTGGATACGGTTAAGTCATTCCAGTATGACTGGCTCAATGGTATTCAATTTTACTGTACATAAAAGTACCTAGTCAAATCCCAGCAACCAAACAATAGCTGGGGTTGGTTCTGGAATGACCTGTAAAGGATACACAACTAACTATTTTTTAACCCTAGAAAAGTTCCAATCATTATTAACTCTTGAAGGTTAATATTTATGACTCCAGTAAAAGGAAAGCAGTGACAGTGCATTGGCTAGATGCTTACCTGCTGGGCTGAAAATGTTGGGCTCGAATTTGCACCGGGCAGATCAGACCCCTGCCCCCCCCCCCCCCCCCCCCCCCCCCCCCAATATTAAAAAAAATACCTGGGCCCAGGTCAATACAGCATATAAATGGGTACATGGAAGTTTTTCTGGAAAGTAAAGTCATCTGGCATAATATTTACCAAACCAGCCATTAACTCTTTGAGTCCCAAGGAACGCATCATACGTTCGTAGGTTCCTACCTAGAAGCCCAATGAACGCATGATGCGCCAATCTTATTACTTTCTTTACTACCCCCTGGGCCTGTGATGCTAAATCCCCTGGGACTCAAAGAGTTAAGGGCCAATTAGTCTACTTCACAAAAATTAGTCTAGCATCAGCATCATCATTTGTCTATTAACAAAAACAAAACAACATCTCTGCCGCTTCCTCATAATTTTCCACACTTACATTTCTAAAATCCCTGAATGGAACAAACTGCACAATGTCACGCTTCGCTGGTTCTCCATTGGCAGCCCTCAAGACCCCATTATCCCCGTCGAGGATCTGCATGTCGGAGAAGTCTGCCTGGCCCACCCCGACGATGATGAGAGACATGGGCAGCTTGCTGGCCTGGACAATGGCAGTTTTGGTGTTGGACATGTCACTCAGCACCCCGTCTGTCAACAGCAGCAGGATAAAGTAAGCCTGAAAATGTCATAGGTAAATCATCATCACAATCGTCGTTATCATCATCATCCCATCATAATTATCATTATCACCATTACCATTATCATTATCTTCATCATTATCATCATCATCATCACCAACATCATCTTCATTGTCAATCAACAGCACCATAATCATCACCACCACCATTCTTCTTTGTTCCCCGGCTGTAAGCTCCAGTGGAAAGTCCTGGTTGTTCGCCCCTTTTAGACTTTGTGCCAGGGACGAGTTTTGCACGTACATCCGTTTTACTGGCTTATTTGCGTGCAGCTGGTTGTTCCTTGCTGCTGGGCAGATGCACTCTGACTCTGAAGGAAATCCCCAATTAGTCGACTTCTAGGACATGCATGCCGGGGAGGCAGTGGGTCTATTCTTGTTTTCCCCCACAATGAGGCCCGGAAACTGAGAGGAGGGAAAATAGAACATGTTGTGACCACTGGAAAGATCTGTGGAAGGAGAGATAGAGGAAGACAACGAGAGAAGATGCTTGGCAGTCTTGTTGAATGGCACAGAGGTGTGTCGGCACACTAACTGATACATGCTGCAGGAGATCGCAGATTATGGAGAGGCATGATCACCCACGCCAGTCGGCAAAGCACCTGATGATGATTCAAAACACAGTAATATATTATCATCACCATCATAATTTTCATCCCAATCACAATTTTCATCATCATCATCATAATCTTTGAACAGCATCATAATCACTGTATTTTCATCATCATCTTAATTTCATAAAATCGGCTAAATAAACCGTGGAGTATCCAGATTTGTTAAATATGTCCAAGTAAGAAGAGGAAAGACAGGCACAGCTAACAACAAGGTAGAGGATGAGCAGTCTAAATTGGAAGGAAGCATCGAGCTCAAAAACGGTGCAAATACTAGAATGTAATCACAAAAGTGACGCAAATAACCCAGACCACAAATATAGGCGGAGACTGTTAGCAGCCTCGGCTAGCAGCAGTCTGAAAGTGGTCGACCTTTTAATTTTGTTTTTAAAAGAAATCGGAATCGGAACTCAGTGACGTAAATTAACCAAATTAACCTCTTTCTTAGAAAGTCTGAACATATCTGAGGTATGTCTCAGTCAGACCGACAGATCGAGAGAACCATGAGAAAGAAACAAAGGATAATCATTATGTACCTGCTGGGCAAATCCTTCTGGGACTGCAAGATGTAACGACCAATTAACTAAAATTCAGTTCCTAATCAGTTTACACATGTGGATCCCTCTTACTATGGAAGGTGTGCGATGGAACCATTCTTTTTCAGTCATAGTCAAGAACTTAAAGTAATTTATAAATATTAGAATTGCAAAAACAACTGTATTCTTAAGTTGTGGTCCTGTGTATAAATGTGCCTCCTAAACCCTTTCACCCTGATTACCCACACGCGAACACCCAGAATATATACATAAATGAAAGGGGTAATCAATAAATGTGACAAGCATTATTCCCATCCAAAACCCTCCAAATATCAGGTGACTCATGCCGTGACCCTGTGACCTTTAACACTGAGATATACAGCAAACTATGTCATCAAATTGGCTTTAAAAGAGCCATTTAGCAGAAAAGGAAAACACCCCTAAATGCTTTTGTTAGTTCAGGTAATAATTTTTGACCTTCTCAATGTTTGCTAAGGCGCAGAAACCATCAAAAGCATTATTCAACTATGCAGTTCATAAAGAAATCACTACAGACATTTGCAAAAGTGCATTATCTGGAACTGGACCCAGGTAGAAGTGTCAGTTTTTTTAGCTTCTCAAACCAAGAGGGTTAAATTTGTTCCGCAGACCACCAAATGGAAACACTGCCTTACAGAATTCCTAGGCACTGCCTTACAGATTTACTAGGCACTGCCTTATAGAATTACTAGGCACTGCCTTACAGAATTACTAGGCACTGCCTTACAGAATTACTAGGCACTGCCTTACAGAATTACTAGGCACTGCCTTACAGAATTACTAGGCACTGCATTACAGAATTCCTAGGCATTGCCTTACAGAATTCCTAGGCACTGCCTTACAGAATTCCTAGGCACTGCCTTACAGAATTCCTAGGCACTGCCTTAAATAAATCCTAGGCCCCAGATCTTGACAAGCCCCAGCACTGATATGCTACTACTTACATGAGCCCCTTTAGAAGGCTCTTCTCTCTGAGCTGCAGCAGCAAAGTTAGCCACATGGTTGATGATTGGGGCAGCATTTGTTGGACCATACAGCTGAACGTTCTGTATACAGTTATAGTAGGCCTGCAGGACTCCGTCAATCCCTGCAGATACAGTCAATATTGTGTTGGCAGCATGTCATCAGAAGAACACATACGAACATATGTGTAAACTCGATGGGAGACAGACTTTGTTTCCCTTTATTTAGTGCTCTGACATGTGAATCCTGGCTTTGGTAGGTAGATATAAGGGCAGAGAAACAGTAGGCTTTCAAAGACACCTTCTGACGACTGGTTATAATGGAAGTAGCTCTTCTGTTTGTTTGACTTTTTTTGTGTGTGGAGGAAGATAATAATAATAATAATAACAATAAGCAGAAGGATGAGCAGGAGGAAGAGAGAAATAAAAATAACAATGAAGAAGAAGCAAAAGCAGAAGGAGAAAAGGATGAGGAGGAAAAAGAAAATAACAATAATAATAATAAGAAGAAGATGAAGAAGAAAATGGCAAGCAGGAGGAAGAGAAAGAAAATTATAAGAAGAAGAAGATAAAGAAGAAGAAGAAGATGAAAAAGATGAAGAAGAAAAGGGCAAACAGGAGGAAGAGAAATATAACAATAGAAAGAAGAAAAGGATGAGTAGGAGGAACAAAATAGTAAATATAATAATAACATAACAAAAAAAAAAAAAAAAGGATGGAAGGGAGGAGGAGGAAGACAATAATAAAAATAATAAAACATAGAAAAAAGAGGACAAGGAAGGGGAGAAGAAAGAAAGGTAGAGATTGAAGAAGATGAAGAGAATAAGGAAAAGTAGTAAAACATTGTCCAACTACTTGCCAACAATCAAACAATAACTGAGACAGACCACATCTGACCTTGGCAATAAGGATTCTGAGGGTTGAAGTTGATGGCAAACTCATGAGATACCTCCCACTTTGGAGGGATCTTTGCTCCAAACCCAAGGGCAGGGAACAGTTTGTCCCTGCAAGCAGATACCACAAGTTGACTAATTCTCATGACAATATTCACCAAGTCAATATATTCTTTGCTGTCTGGGTTGCAGGGCAAAACAAGAACAGGCCCACTGCCTCCCCACCAAGCATGTCCTAGAAGTCAACTAATTGGGGACATACTTTGATCATTCTTTGAAGTCGGAGTACATCTGCCTCAAAGGCAAGGAACCAAAAGTCTGCACTCAAATAATCCAGATCTGTGAAATGGATGAGCACGCAACACTCAGGTTCTGGAGCAAGACCAACACCCAGAGGTGGATAAACACCCATAACTTTCTGCCAGATTTACAGCCGGTGAACATGAAGAAGAAGAAGAAATAAGTGATAATATTAGGATTTTGTTTTTATATCTGTTCTGCATCTTTCCATTGGCAACATACAGATGTGAGTTATGGAAAATTTCACAATCACTAAAGAAGAAAATGAGGGTTTTTGAACTTGTTACAGAAATATTCTTAGAATACCATGGGCTTTCTTCTTCACAGGGGGTCTCCATGGTGAAGTGGTCAAGCCGTTTGTCTCATGCTCTGAAGGTCATGAGTTCATTTCACGGCTGCGCTGTTTAGTTCACAAGCACAATTTTTATGGAGATCCCTGGGGATCATCGTCGGAGCTACGAAGTTTGTGTGGCGCTCTCGGCAGGTGGCCAGTCCTGCAGAGACAGACCGAGCCATATGGAATAAAACCTCGTGCAATGCAGTCAATCCTCTCAACTTTAAACTTCTTCACTTCCTCTGTTTCTGCTTTGGGTGTCAAAGGAGATATAACGTTCTGGTTGTTCTTGTTATTCTAGCTGCCTTGACCATAGACCTACTGCGATGACATGATAAGACATTTTCTATAAATGGGCAAACCATTTTACTTGCTGCTTTTGAATGTTGTTTAATATTATTTCTATGTAGACTTTTCTCTTATGATTTCACTCTTGAATGTATCTTGTGGTTACTCCAACAGCTTTTCTCAGACATCTACTTCTATGGTTATTTTCTTTACTGATTTGTTTTGAGTGACTTTACACTGGTAGTATAGGGTGGGAATTGATGTGCAGTAAAAGGGTGAGGGATGGGGTGTTAGCTGTCCCCATACTTGGTTAGCTTTGTAACATTGGATGTTAACTTTGGGTGTTAATTTCTACATCCAATTTACCATCCTCAGTAACAGTTGATCCTAGATATTTACACTCAAAGATACTGCAGAAGAAGGCATCCTGACCAAAGGAGAACAGACCCCTTATTGTTTGTGCGTGTTAAGATGCAGGTCTCTTGGGTCTCTGTACCTCTGTCTTGGTGGTACACTCTTTCAGACTTCTGTTCACCCATCTCCTGATGTTGTCCTCGTACCTGTATCGTCGTCTACTTCTTGCTCTCTTGCCTTTGACGTTCACCTCCAGTAAGGTTTTCAAAAGAGTGCTATGTCTTTCAATGTGGCTGAAATATTTCAACTTTCATTTAAAAAAAAATTATTTCAGTAACCCTCTTTTCATTCACATCCTGCATTTTTCGTGACATTTTTCAGAATCTGTACCAGACTGTTTTTGTTTCCATGAAATACGACCTATTCTGTATATCCACATTTCCAGAGACTCAATTTGATTTTGTAGCTGCTTGTTCATTGTCCAGGTTTCTGCACCAAGCAGAGTCAAGTTTTATTGGGCATCTTTTGAGGAGACATATACTTGTAAACATAATGACAACTGGCAAACTTGATAAAAACTGAACAAGGGAAGACAAAGAGATTCTTCTTCTTTTTCAGTTGAATTTTTAAAAAGTGGCTGGCATGCTGTGTTGTGGTGGTCTACATCTAAGCTGTGATATTTGCCTCTTTTTGCCCAACACATATGATTTCAACAAATTCCTAATTAGTTCTCTTTTACTATATTTGCTTCATGGGAAGTCTATCCGCGCACCTCCTCCTCACCCTTTTTTCAAATGGGGCCCCAGAACCTACCTGGGGAAGACAACTTAGTGATAACTGACAGGTTTTAGAGAGCAAGGAGAAAATAATGAGGTAACTACATAAACGACCTAGCCACAACTGGAACAAGAACACTGACCTGATGAGTGACTCTCGTGATCAAGTGAGATGTCCACCATTACCATCCATTTACATCAGCATGTCACATGATGATGATGGCAATTAAATTATGATAATTATATGATGATGATGAGAATGAAGACAACGGGGGGGGGGGGGGGGGGGGTGACAATGATCAAGATAATGATAAAAAAATAACGTTGCTTACGTATCATAATCCTGACAAACCTCGCCAACACTTCTGATAGCTGCCATATATTCATTAGGACGGTGAGGGTTAATGTAATGTAAGGAGGAAGACTGAGTCGGGTTTCCATTGGAGGCTGTGAAATCAATGCCCACCTGCAAAGAGTAAAATATTTTCACAGTACTGGTACTTATTTTCTCATAAGAGATCTTTAATGTGAACATCCCCCCCCCCCAATCAAAGGTAGAAATTAGAGACTGATATAGATGGGAGGAGCAAAATAAGAAGAACTGATTGACTAATTACAGCAAATGCAACTTCTTCTTGTGTTTTTCACCAGCTGTAAGCTCCGGCAGAAGGGTTTAAGTTTACATCTGTTTTACTGCCTTATCTGTGTGCAGTTGTTGTTCCTTGCTGTTCGGACAGATGCACTCCAATTTTGTAGAAAGCTCCAATTAGTCCATGCTTGTCTGGGAGGCAGTGGGTCTATTCGTGTTTTCCCCACACTGGGACCCCAGAACTCACATGGGGACAGCAGAGGCTACAGTAAGAGCTGCTACAGCTGGAGAAGCAACAGCAAATGCAAGTATCAAACAACCTCATTCCCAAAAAGATTAAATCTAGCCATGTTAGAACATATTAACAGACTCCACTCAGAATGAGAAGACTATGATTTGAAGATCAACACAGACAAACCAGAAGTGATGACCTTCCTCAGAAAAGCAAAAACACCCATTATCAAAGTTGATGGGACATCGGTTAAAGCAGACGAAGGATTGTATATATCTAGGGAGCAATTTTTCCCCCCCATAAGATGGAAGAATGAAGAAAGAAATCAAACAAACTTTAGCCTCCCCGTGTGGGTTCCGGGGCCCTGTTATAGGGAAAACAAGAACAGACCCACTGCCTGCCCAAAAGCATGTCGTAAGAGTCGACTAACTGGGATTTTCCTTCAAAGTCGGAGTGCATCTGCCTGAGAGGCAAGGAACCAACAGTCTGCATGCAAATGAGTCAGATCTGTAAAACAGATGCACACATAACACTCAGGTTCTGGAACAGGACTGCTGTCCAGAAGTGGATGAACAACCAGAACTTTCCGCCAGAGTTTACAGCTGGTGAACTTGAAGAAGAAGAAGAAACAAACTTTCAATAAACGCAATCAAGTTTTAGGCCAAACGTCATCAATTTTGAAATGTAAGCATGTGAATATGAACACTGAAAGAACTCTGTTCAACACAATATTCTTACTAACTTTATGCTATTAATGTCAAACAGGGACACAGTCTTCAGAAAACAGACAGATAATAGAACACTGAAAAGTATTTTCTATGAAGCCAACAGAAGGGCCCATTCCAGAGTTCTCTCCCTGCCCTGACACTGCGAGGCATTCCAGGAGTGGAGAAAAGACAAAGAAGAAGAAGATAATACATACCGTGAAGTTAATCTGTGTTCCGCCCATGATGTAATCAAGGAATGAGTATTCTTTCACAACCTGAAAAGTTATTATATATGTTTACATTTTACAAGTGAGCAAACAGTCTATTTTATGTGGAACAAATATTTGCCATCTCCACTGTCAAGTGCTGCTTTGACACTGAGCATCTTCTGTAATGAATCTCCAATACAATTTATTCTGCCTTTTCTTGGTGCACTCATACCGGCTCCTTGTACCTATATTTTTTTTTTAGGTTCCCCCTCCAGGATTTCAGTTTGTAGGATTAACACCTCAATGATGTGAAACAAACAGGAATAAATCCCGGAAACCCTGGTCAACTGTACAGACATACAGTTAAAATTAAAGTCCAGAGGATGGACTTAACTGCACTGGGTTTTATCCCATATGTCTTGGTCTTTCTCCGCAGAACGGCTAGCCGCCTGCCAATAGCACTGTGCAAAGCATGAACTCCGCAGCTCCGGCGACGATCAGCAGAAATCTCCATAAAAATTGCACTCGCGAACTGAAGGCGGCTAGCCTTGGGATGAACCCATGACCTTCAGAGTGTGAGCCAAACAGCTTGACTCCTTCGCCAGAGAGCATATAGCACAGTTACACCCGGGCACAACAAGCTAATTAGGGAGTAACCTGTAGCCCAGTGTGGGAGGGTTATGTTGCCCTGTACCCATTTATCACTGGGCAGTCTCTTCACAACTTACTGCGTCTCCAACATCTTCTGATCTGTCTTCTTGGTGCAGTCATCCCTCCAGCCCAGTGGTTTTTCAATCCCCTACCCCAGGGAGCACAAGGAAGTTTCAATGGAGGTATCCAGCAAATTTGAAATTGAGTGCATTTGTACTTACAATAATCTGCTATAAAAAAACGTTTTTTAAACTATTCTTCTTTCTCTTATTCCTCTTTTTTCTTCTTCTTCTCTAGTCTTATTCTGCCATTCAACGCCTGTTTTTGAAGAGGCATTGGGTGCGAGCCTTAGTATGTGCTACACAGATTCTAGTATATACAGCCTCGGATATTTTGTCTATCCATCAGGGGCACGGTCAACCTCTAGTTCTGTTAGCATAAATAAAAAAAAAATAAAAAAAAAAAAGAAACCCAGGACGTTTTTGTTTTCATGAGCAGTTTACACACCTGCCATTCAAAATCTATTTAACAGGAATATATGTGCATTTGTTACAGATTTAGGACACATTCTGACCAAAACGTATCTCCATATTTCAAGTAACCTTTTTTTTTTGGGTCCTATTCTTAATCACATTGTTTTTTAAAGCTGGAATGGGGGTCTTGCCATATATTCAAGGTGGCGCCATCTGAGAAAGGTTGAAAACCACTGCTCAAGTCCATCTCTTGATAACTGTCCACCCAAATTTTAAACTGTTGTCTCCCTCCAGAACATCCTCTTACAAGGAGCTATACCTTCTTTTTTGTAACCCTTCAAATGGATAATTTAGGTGCAGTAAACTGTTTCCGTAATGGATTTATTTTCAAACTGTGCCTGTCACAAGAAACCAGTAAAGGATGGTATTTCTTTTCATTTATTACTTTTCCAGTTTGCACTAATTTTCGGAAACTCATTCCTTTTCTGAAAAAGGAAGTTTCAACTGATTCCCTGTGTGAAAAGTACTATTTGTGTTCCAGCTTATGCAAAATTCCCCAAAGAATAACAATAACACAGTCTTCATTTCGGCTACTGTTTTATCAGTCCAACTGTGCACTTTATACAGACAACTACTCTTGAGACTTGAGGACATTTCAGAATGGTTATAAGACGTACATAAATGTTTCAATGCAGTCAGTGTTAAGCACATGCAAGTGGGTCCCAAGTTAGTAACTTCTTGCAGCACACAGATGATCTTCCGCGCCATAATGTCCAACTGTCCAGCATCTTTTCCCGGTCTCCTCCTGCCTCTCCTCCACTCCAGCTTTCCCACCGTCACGATCTACTCCAGCTTTCTCCTTCTCAAGACATGACCAAAGAATGTAGATTGTCTCTTTCTGATGTGGGCAATCAGTTCTCTTCGTGAGCCAGTTTCTATCATAACATCTTCATTACTCTTTTTATCTGTGCAGGGGATTTTAAACATTTAACCACTAGAAATAATTACCACATGTGCTTCTAAGGAATGAGGACAATAGCCCCATGACAATAGCCTTTAGTCAGCTTTAATGACACCTATTTAATTACACCTATTTAATTACACCTATTTAATGACACCTATTTAATGACACCTATTTAATGACACCTATTTAATGACACCTATTTAATGACACCTATTTAATGACACCTATATAATGTCACTTATTTAATGACACCTATTTAATGACACTTATTTAATGACACCTATTTAATGACAACTATATAATGTCAGCATCTGTGGCTTAGGCGCCGCAAATGCGCTTCTTAATGCCAGGGTGCTAGGTTCGATTCCAGCTGCGGATGGTTTGTTTTGGGTTGGTTTTGACAGTGGTACTGAGAGCTGATCATTCAGTAAGCAATGGCAAACTACTGAACATAAAATTTTTCTAGAAGAACCACACTGCCCCCAAAAATGCTGGGGTTGGTCCTGCAACATCCTGTACAGGATACGCAACTAACTTTACTTAATGACATGACATGACAACTATTTAATGACATGACATCCATTTAATGACATGCCATGACATCTATTTAATGACATGACATCTATTTAATGACATCTATGATAGATTACAGTGTAACTATTCTATGCTTCCGGGTAACAAAGTTACAAGTGAATGAATACAGTAACAAAGTTACAAGTGAATGAATACAGTAACAAAGTTACAAGTGAATGAATACAGTAACAAAGTTACAAGTGAATGAATACAGTAACAAAGTTACAAGTGAATGAATACAGTAACAAAGTTACAAGTGAATGAATACAGTAACAAAGTTACAAGTGAATGAATACAGTAACAAAGTTACAAGTGAATGAATACAGTAACAAAGTTACAAGTGAATAAATACAGTAACAAAGTTACAAGTGAATGAATACAGTAACAAATTTACAAGTGAATGAATACAGTAACAAAGTTACAAGTGAATGAATACAGTAACAAAGTTACAAGTGAATGAATACAGTAACAAAGTTACAAGTGAATGAATACACTACAAACCTTTAATGATGTGAGGTAGATGACACCAGAATTTGAATAATTTCGTTTCTTGGCTTTTTTTGATGGATTCACACATGGCCAAGAGATCTGCAAAAACAGAAGGTTTCATTATTTTAGAATGTAGTTGACTTTAGAAATGCTTTAGAATGTTGTAGACCTGTGGGTTGTGACCCCTTCGGCGGTCAAACGACCCTTTCACAGGGGTCGCCTAAGACCACTGGAAAACACATATGAAGTAGCAATGAAACTAATTTTATGGTTGGGGGGTCACCACAATATGAGGAGCTGTATTAAAGGGTCACGGCATTAGGAAAGTTGAGAACCTCTGTTGAAGAATGCTGTAACGTTTTATAATGTAGTTGATCTTTGTAATGCTTCAGAATGGAGTAGACTGTTCATTACCATTTCTTACCATCCTTTTCTAGGATTACTTTGGTCCACTATATCTTTGTCCACTTGCCATCCATCAGAAAGCTGTCCTCGTCAAGGTGTCATGACACATTCTGCAAACATGTCCAAGCCATCTCCATCTTCTTCCAGTGATAATTGTAATGTATGGTTTGTATTTCTACTCGTTGTCTAGGCGGTGTTCATGCGTGTGTGGTGGATGATATTCTGACACGCTTCACGTTACACACTTGGCACAAGCCGACACCGATGTGAGCTTACGAGACATTACTTTATTGACGTATTAAAACTTACGACAAACAGAATCGTCCAGTCGATGTCTAATTGAACCGCTTTCGTACACAAACTCACGCAGCCTTTAACGAACAGTCTTCTGCAGGCATTCAAGCAACGATGGGTCCCATGGATTCAACACTGACGTTTGGACATCTCACACGCTGGCATGGTCGATCTCAGCTTAACACTTCGTCGGCAGGTCTCCTTTCTCCTCAGGCACTCACGTAGACATTCGCACATTCAGTCGCTCGTCCTCTCGCTCCAACAGGTCGACACAAACTAAACTTGACCAGAGTCAAGTCTGACTTATACCACGGGTTCCTTTCACGTGATAACACGTGGTGGTCCTTTACTTTTCCCGTGGCGACCTTGGGTCGCATCACCGTGGTCCCCGTGATAACTAGTGGTTAGTCACCTATCTCCAGATTCTCGTTTAATCCAAGTATCTGGACTATCTCGGTGTTTTCGGTCAGCTTTGGGCCTTCCCCCCAACCATCCTAAACTGGGTCGAAAATATCCCCCATTACAATAATGCTTGCCAATGATGAATATTTTGTCTTCCTCCGCCTCCTCAGTTCTTCATTTGTGATCTTGTCTGGCCAAAATATTCACACAATTCAGCTTAGACACTTATTTGATAAAGTCTCTAGGGGCTGCATGGTTTCTAGGTATTGTCTCCGCCTCCCGTGCTAGAGGTTCCGGGTTCAATCTGCGGGGAGGGCTGGGATTCTTTCACGTGGATTTGGACTTCTAGTAATTCCCCCTGGTCTCTGGTTAGTGAGATCGGATGCCAGTGTGCATTGTTGTGCACATAAAAAATTCCTTGGCAGTTGGAAATCGAAAAGAGTAGCCTAACAGCGCTGCCTGGGCAAAAATTTGGAGTTAAAAATCTATCCAAAGTCTTTCAGGATCCTCGCCGGTGCTACAGCGCCTGTGCAAAGTGCTGAGCTTCTTCGGACTCAGACTAGAGTTAGAAGAAGAACACAACACTTATGGGTTAACCTGTGTGCCATGACGTTGATTCCTTGTTCAAAATCTCAAATCTAGTTAAAGTGTAATTCCTGCTGTCATTTTTCCGCATTTACTACTGCATACAGATATTCCTAAAATGCTGCTTTCTGTATGTATTGTAAGTGAAAACTGTTTTTAATATTTTGTTTAGAATGATGAAAAATGTCTGGTGAAATTTGTAACTGTTCTATGTTTGAAAATGACGGCCCCTCCCCCCCCCCCCCCCCCCCCCCCCCCCCCCCCCCCCTGGAAACCTATAAATTTGTGACTGTTTAAACCAAACAATGCTCACCTCCTGCTGTATGGCTTTAGACATCTCATCAAATGTTGTAGTGAATCCTCCGATGTAGTCGTGGGAACCATCACTGTCCCAGTCATAGCAGTCAAACTGAAACACAGGGTCAAAGGGCAAGCCTGTCAGTCTGGCAGTAAATAAATTGAATATACTAGAGATGTTGAGATGCTGATGACGTAGTTATCCAAACATATGCAGAAAGTTATTGCAATTATCTAAAGGTACCTCATGACAGGGGAGCTAGACACTCGCCTGTGCTTCTGTAGGTCATGGGTTCAAATCTTCATGAAGCCAGACTTTTTTCAAAGATGACCTTAGCTCCCAGGCTGACCAATGGGTAATAGGTAGATTCCTGGGAAATAAAGGTGGTCAACCCCACCACCCCTCAAGGCCCACTGGTCCATAAAAGTATGTCTAACCCAATATGCCCATACACCATTGGCATGGGAAGGGACCTTTACTGTGACACCCCATGACAGATCCTGTAGTTACTTGAATGTACCCTATTCTTTTTCTGCTTTATTCTTGCTGTTCACAAGCTGTAAACTCTGGGAAAAGTTCTGGTTGTTCATTCCCTTCTTGACTTTGGCATTGTTACAGGAACTTCAGTTCTGTGTGCACATCTGTTTTACACATTAGGGTTATTTGTATGCAGACTGTCGGTTCCTTGCCTTTCAGGCAAATGCACTCCAAAGGAAACACCCCTAATTAGTTTCCTTTTACCACACGCTTGTTGGGGGCAGTGGATTCATTCCTGTTCCCCCCTTCCCCCCAAAATGGGCTCTGGAACCCACCTGGCAAAAGATGTCCTATGATAATTAAAGGTACCTTATGACTGATACAGTAGTTAGAATAATACATCACTGATGATGGCTACAAACAACTTAAATCAACTTGGGCACAGTTGAAAAGCATTCCATGAAATGCACAGCTCACAGTGTTGCATTATGCACTCAACTCAGTAGCTGGGTGATTGAACTATATGCTTTCAGCCCACATAGAGTGGGAATGCAATAGTAAACATTTAGAGTAAAACAGCTGGCCTGCCTATTCACTAACCTGGACTAGAACCAGCTTGAGATATCAACGATAGGGGCTAAAATCAACCCAAAACAGATAGGTAGTTTGCTTAATGTATCATATGACAGATAATCCATGAGGGATGATCATTAGGTTCAAAAACATGAAACTAATATTTCTTTTTCTAAAAACAGTATTTTAGAAAGGGTATTTATAACAATACCTTGGACAGCCAAAAAGAGCAACCAAGAGGTTTTGAAAGAGGCGGGAGCCCGAAGACAATTTATCACAGACATCAGAAGGAGACAGTCATCATTTTTCGGCCATGTTATGAGAAGAGGGAAAATAGAACATGTTGTGACCACTGGAAAGATCTGTGGAAGGAGAGATAGAGGAAGACAACGAGACAAGATGCTTGACAGTCTTGTTGCATGGCATGGAGGTGTGTCGGCACACAAACTGATACATGCTGCAGGAGATCGCAGATTATGGAGAGGCATGATCGCTCACGCCAGTCGGCAAGTCACATGATGATGATGATGATTTATAACAGGTGGGGAACAAATGCAAAGAGCCCTTTTTCAGGCCTTGAAGCTCACTGGGTATATAGTGCTTCTTCTTACGTCCATGCTTAATAGATTTATTTAAAGACTGCCTTGCAGTGGATTCAAACTCTTACCAACCAGTCTGGCAGGCAGGCATACTAGCCAATATGCTACAATGGCTTCATATTCATAATTGGCCTAAACATAACAAACAAACAAAATGTGTGCTGACACTGGAGACCAAAACCTCACCTTGATTGACTGCTGTTTATTTCCACCACAAAGAGTTTGTAAAGAGAGCTGGAAGGGTCGCCAGTGAGGATTCAAATTGTTCTTTATAACCTAGTAAAGTGCAAACAGGCAAGAGAAGAAACAGCACTGTTAGTGTGAAGTTTATAGTAAACAATCTTGTTTATTTTTAATTGATTAATTGCAACTTTTTTTGGGTAAGGACAACCCAGCACATCATTCTCACCCATCTGTGCTCCGTTCTCCAATGCAACAACCATCACAGTGTCTCTATGCTGAATGTATCCCTATGGTTCAGTTTCTCAACACAGAGCAGGCGGGCTGTCCGACAAATCACCCAAAGCATGAACTCTGTGCCCCAAATTACCGCTCAGGGTCTCAGAGACACCTGCACTCAGGCACTAAATGACCCAAAACATATTCAATGGCTTTTACGGCGTCAAGCAAATGACTTTATCACTTTGTCGCAAAGAATCCCAAAACTCAATTTTAACATTTAGAAACAAAATAACAGGGTTCTTTATTAATATCTTAAACCAGATGAGGCTACAGGACAGTCCAACATTTTAGAGGGTGGTAAGACTGGGGATCTGGGTTTTTTAAATGCTTTTAACGACGCCAAAACATCTAGAACTGGCCCTGACCCCAACCCACCTACGTCCCACAAAAGAGTGCAGCCTCACGAAATCATGCAGCCTAGGTCCCACCTCCTGAAATATTAGACTGTCCCATGACCTGTGGATCCCCCCCCCCCCCCCTGTTTGGGGTAGGATATTAATAAAGCACCAATAATAGAAATACCTCGGTTCTGTGAACAACCTGCCAGTTGCCATCTGAAGTTGCTTTCAGAATTTCCAGGTACGGGTCAGATTTGCCAAATAGGTCCTGGAATTTAAAAAAGTAAAAAATTTTGATATTCATAGCTATTAATATATAAAAGGTTGAAGAAGCTTATGCTATGGAACATAAAAGAAAAGCTGTCATTAGAAAGGATTTAAACATGATGTAAAATGGGCTGGTAAAACAACAACTTGTTTCAGAAACTGAAATATTTGGCTATATCGCACACTGCGGTGGCTTGGAAAGAACAGTAATCGAGGACATGGTTCTAGGTAAGACAGGCAGGGGTTGACCAGCATGAAAGTAGAAACAGGACTTATGAGGCACCTAAGGCAGCAAAGTGCATGCGGCGGGAGAGCTGGTGACGAACCATGCTTCTTTCAGATGGGAATAACATTCTGAAAAGCACCTACATGACGACGACGATGATGATAAGTGAATCAGAATACAGCAGTGGAGGTAGAGAAATATAAATGAGAGAAAACAAAAAAGCCTGGAGCGTTCACTGCAGGCCACCAGAATTTCGGGTCAAAAAGTCTAAAGTGTCTGTAATGAGGAGACCAGAATTGAGGGCCAAAAGTCTAAAGTGTTTTTTGTGGGGAGGCAAGAGGTCAATAATTTGAAGTTCAGAGTCAGAAGAAAGTATTCAGACTGACACCTGTTTTGAAACTGTATGCACTGAGTAAATCACAGAGAAAAGCAATCAAAAAATAAGATTTATACATTTACATCACTTAAAAATACCCCCCCACCCAAGTGCTTACAATGGGACATATTACCACTGAAATTATGAGCAAACTTCTGGATGAAACATTACCTCTTCCACAGACGTTTATTAATAAGGCAGTTGGCAAGTTACAAATCTACAGTCAAACTGCAGGTATTGTGACGTTTTCATTCTTCACTAAAAGCATTTGGGATGAATGACACTAATTGGGAGGCTAGCCACCTCTCAAGACCGAAATGCATGGCGTGTAACTCTACACAAGTGCGAGGTTACATGTGAAGCAAACAGAACAGCAAGACTGATTAAGAAAAGGATGAACAGAAAGGCGACTGCAGGAGATCCCCTCCCTGGCACAACGCTCATTTCCTGTCCTCACTGTCCAAGAACTTTTCGGGCACGCATCGGCCTCATCAGTCATCTTTGTACTCATACTTGATGAAAAAGAATCGTCATCATCATCTTGATGGACAGCACACACATAGTAGTAATATAATTTATCTCCTTCTTCTTCTTTTGCCCTAATTGTTCTCAATGTATTCTTTAACCACCTCACTCAAGTGCTTCTATGAGGAGTACCATAAAGTAATGCCACGTTTTCTCAGCAAATAATGAAGATCATCATGTAGCAGGTTCTTTGAGGAATGGCGCTCTTGTTGTCATAATCTGCCCGAAAGAAATGCTGTCTCTTGCTAGATCTCCTGCCCCGTGAACTGTCCTACCTGAGGTGTCACTTATATCATGTGTCAGCTTCGTGCTGATAGACCCCTGCCTCTCTTCCCTGGCACCATGCCTTCTGATACTGTTCTTTCCAATCTGCTGTGGCGCTTTTTATGCCCAAAATACTTCAGTTTCCAAGATAAGATACTGTTTACCAGCTAATCTTCCTTGATGTTCAGATCTTTTAAGATGTGAATATTTCTTTTCTTCTTGGTTTACACACTTTAAGAATTATAAAGTTTAAAAAAAAAAGCCATACAACTTCTAAAATGTATGTACCTTACTGTCCAATTTCTGAGCTCGGAAGGTCAGTAAAGCGGTTTCCATTCCTTCCTTAATTTCCTCTGTTCGAATCTGAAATACCAATCCAAAGTTCTTAAATAAATAATCATGCATAATTTTTATTCCTACTTATTACTGATTACTGTGATAACAAACAACATATTAAAAATGAGAATCATAAAATGTTATATATACTCAAACTTACTGCATGTGTGTATGTGCAGGAACTTGGACAATGAACAAAGCAACTAGAAAATGAAACTCTCTGGTGATGTGCACATACATAAAAATATGTCATTTCTTTGGGGAATGGGGGGGGGGGGGGGGGGGGGGGAGAGAGACAATCAAATAGTATCTTGAGAGACTGGGAATAAAATAAAGGAAAAAAAATTAAAAAAAAAAGAAAAAAGAAAAGAAACAACTGAAACATTTCAAGCACATTAAAAGACATAACACTCTTTTAAAACTATATGGGTTATGGGAGGGGGGGGGGGGGGTGTATGGACGAACAGCAGTCTCAGAGACTGTACAACCAAGACAAGAGTTTGTTGCTGATCCGCTGCGTCAGCCACCTTTCATTGTGGAAAAGGCACGTGACTGACAGATTTAATTAAAACAATAAAAATAAAAACTATTATTCTTATTCGTATTATTGTCAACTCTTTCAGCCCCAAACAATGCACAGTGTCTGAGTGACACCATCCTTTGATCTCCCTCCATAGCTTACTGTGATCTCATTTGCTTCAAATTTAGTCAGAACAAACCAAAGAAATAATCTTGCGCCTCCAATGTAATTACCACTGTGCACATTGCCACTTGGAAGGTAACACATTGATGCTTTTTTCACAGATGGTTATTTCTTCACTCTGGGTTCTCCTGTGGAAAGTTCTGGTACTGAAAGATTTAGCATGTGCAAAATGACCTCAATACCGTATTCTCTGGGAGTAGCGGTGGTGTAGTGGATAGATGCTCACATGCGGATCGATTGGTCGTGGGTTCAGGTCTTGACAAAACTAGACTTTCTTTAAAAAAAAAAAAACATTGGCTGCCAGGTCGACCCAGCCTTGAGTGGGTACCAGGTGCAGTCCTGGGAAGTAAATGTGGCCGGTGTGATGTTGACCACATCATCCCCCAAGTGCTGATAGGTCCATAAAATATAGGTCTAGCCCTAGATGCCCAAAATACCTGAAGGTGTGAAAAAGGGTCCTTTACTTTATCTACTTACCATATTCTACTTTAACACAAAGAGAGGCACAATGGAAGCACAATATTCACTTACTGTGATTGTACCCTGTCCAGCTTTCCCTCCGGTTTTATACACCAGTGGTGCTGTCATTGGTGTGTTGGAAACCAACTGTAACGCAAAAATGAATGTGAAAGTTTCTCATTTTCTTACATGCAAAAACCATTTTAAACTTCAGGGTCACATATCGTCTTCTTCGTGTTTACCTGTTGTAACCTCCTGTGGAAAGTTCTTGTTCATCTACCTCTGAACTTTAGACTTGTTCCAGAACCGGAGTGTTGTGTGCACATCCCTTCTACAGATCTGACTTATCTGTATGCAGATTGTTGGTTCCTTGCCTCTTAGGACATGCATCCCGACTTCGAAGGAATCTCCAATTAGTCAACTCTTACGACATGCTTGTTAGAGGAGGCAGTGGGTCTATTGTTCTTGTTTTCTCCCATAATAAGGCCCCGGAACCCACAGAAAAGGGGGAGGGGGGGGGGGGGGGTGAGAGGAGGGCACATATCTAAGAACAACATTTTGCACGCCAAGTTTGATGTGGACAAAGCCCTTTGGCAGCAAGTGAACAATGCAGAGGCCGGAACGGATCATTACGGTTTGGAGAGAATGGTACAGCTAGGAGAGACTAGGCCATCTGCTCGGAAATCTACACTCAGGCGAAAGGCAAGATCGACATTTAATCAAACTGCTAGTGGCACCACTGGAACTGGAACTCTTCGGTGGCTGCTGAAGATGAGGATGGAGCGCTTATGGGAATGTCCCAGGTGCTATGATGCGAGTTCTTAGCTTAACAGCTTGGAGTCAGAGTGTATCTGCCTGAGAGGCAAAGAAACAACAGCGGAAGTATGCTAAGATCAAGGTGTAAACAAACAACCAGGGCTTTTCTCCAGGTTTACATCCTGTGAATGCAAGCAAACAAAGATCAACTGGCAGGTTTGTAACCTGACTGACTGGAACAGCCACTGTTCATTCGCTCCCTAAGGGCCCTTACAACATCACGTCATACATCAATTCACCACTAAGTGGTGCATAACCGGCCAGTCTATCTGTCCGCTAATTTCCCAACACATTCCTGGAGAAAATATCTAAAGGACGCTAATACCCAGGACTGCTGAAGTGATGCTTGCCTCTTCGCATGCAGCATGCCTGTCTCCACCTTTCTCAAAATGCTCTGTGAGTCAGTTACAATTATGACATGTGTGTACAGCTGATTTTCCAAGCCAGCAAAAAGCTGCAGTACATGCCTTAACCTCCATTCTCAAACTAGATGTTGTGATATCACATGCCAGGCTTTGCAGGAGATCATAGAGGAAAAAGAGAAGGAGACCCTGAAGGAAGAGGAGGGGGAGAAGCAGACACAACACTACAATGAGGAAGAGAAAGATAAGAAGAATACTGAAAAGGAAAAAGAAAAGAATAAAGAGGAGGAGGAAGAGGATGAGATGATGAGAAGAAAAAAAATGGAGGAGAAGCGTGGATGGAGTTTGGTATGTTTGACAAACATGTCCAAACCTGTCCAAGCGTAGTTTCAATCTGACCCAGGAAGTCGTCGTCGTTGAGCTGAGGTGTGGTGTTGTCAATGTCATATACAGCAATAAGTATCTTCTGAACCTCTTCAAAGAAATAGTTCACAACAAAGCTTTTGGAAAACTTGGGGTTCACGCAATTTTTCACATTTTCAGTTCTTCCAACCTGCCGAGAAAGAAAAAAAACACCTTGTTAACAGGAATTACAAGGGACCACAAATTGAGTTCGTATTTAAATAAATGTGTGCTTACCGAGGACAATAATATAACCCTGCTTGGGCCAACATTTTGTTTATGTTAACTGAGTGTTCTTGTAAAGAAAGTCTGTGTTAATGAGGTTTTACTGTATTTGTCAGGGTACTGTCTTATAAAGAGTGCATTCAGTGAGATTCTCTGGCAGATCTGTTTTTTTTCTGGATGTCTCCTCCTATACATATCTGTTAGTTAGTTAGTTAGTTAGTTAGTTGGGTTATCCTCATTGCACTTCGGACATGTCCATAGGTGCTCAGATCCTCCCCTCAGTATGAACCCCAACGTCCGATGGCTAATAGTACCAGTTCTATGTTGATTAACAAGTCTTCTGGCGTAGCTGGTGTGCGTCTCGTTTTTTGCTGTGCCGATCTTAATTCCCAAGTCTGCCATTCTGGCGAGTGATGTGGATTCACTGCCACCAAAGTCCTCTATTCTTCCCATTTCTCTGAGGGCATTGATAATATCAGCATGATCCATAGGCTGACCGTCGGTAGTGATAGCGAATACAGCCAACCTGTCAGCTCTTTCATTTCCATTGACGCCTGCGTGTCCCGGAACAAAAATAAAGGTGACTCCACGAACAGTGGACTTCTGTAATGATTCAAGCATACATACATACATATCTGTACTGTCTTATAATGAGTGTCTTTGCTTCACACAGTGAGATTCTCTGGCAGATCTGTTTTTTCTGGATGTCTCCTCCTATACATATCTGTACTGTCTTATAATGAGTGGCTTTGCTTCTTTCAGAAAAAATCTGTGGGGCATCTATTTAAGAAATGAAATTTAGTAATGAGATTTTATTTGACTGAAATATTACACAACGTCTTCAATACGATTTCCATCATTTGTGATACAGCGGTCGATGCACTTTACAAAATGTATGTGAATTAGATGTAATAAATCCCTACTGAAGATTTGAACATGTCATGTCTACAAACTGGCGTGATGGTGACCACATCACCGACTGGTGGATAAAATTCAGGTCTAGCCGTATATGCCCAAAAGGCCTGAAGACATGGAAAAGAAACCTTTACTTTACGTCTACAAACACAATGACAACAAATCAATCACTCACCTCTTCCCAACGACCTGCCACCATCATCATCAAGACAGCACACGGATCAGACTTGGACATGATATCCATATTGATCAGGTTTTTACACTCAATGCGGATTTCAACTCTGGATTTGAACTGATCTGTCCCTGGCCTGACCACTCTTCCTGCTGCACCTGTGGGGAGACACACAAAAAGAGAGTTTCCTCTGTCAGTACCAGCATTACGTCTCCTGCCTCAGCATTCTTAGCTCTTGGGTCACTCCTGCAGATATGAACCAGCTGCATCCATCTCTAGGATTGCCCCTCTCTTTCCAGTTAGTGACTCCAAGTTTCTGTAGGTCTGCCTTGTTGAATGTTGAATTGAGAATCCACATCACAGCACTCAGGACACTCCCATAAGCGCTGCATCCCTAACTTCAGCAGGAAGCCAAGTGTCAATTCTGATGGCACCAGTAACCGTCTGATTGTATATCCAACCCATCCTTCTCCTGAGTGTTCAGCGTCCACCAGATCCCATGGTAACTCCTCGCAGCGCCATTCTCCTCAGACCACAATGATCTATCTGCGCCTTCGCACTGTTCACTCGTTCCCAAAAGGCCCTCACAATATCTTGCTTGTCATATTTCAATTCACCACCAAGTGGTGCAGAGCCAGCCAGTCTATCTATCTGCCTGCTTATTTCCAACACACCGGCATAACCCTAAGAAAATTTCCAAAGGATGCCAACTACCCGGGATCTCTGAAGTGATGCTTGCCACTCTGCACGAAGCATGCCTGTCTTCACCTTTCTCAGCATACTCTGTGAGTCTGTTACAATCACGGCATGTGTGTACAGCTGATTCTCAAGCCAGCGGAAGGCAGCAGAGACTGCCTCCATCTCCATTCTCAAACTAGACGTTTTTATATCATATGCCAGGCTTTGCTGCACTAAGTGACGTCCATTCGCCTTTGCTATAAACCCCCATACACTTTGTCTGCCCCTGAACACAGAGCCATCTGTATAAATAATCACATCACCCAGGCATGAATTGTTGTAGGTCTGCCTGTGGATCTTTTCTTCTTTGAAAAATGTTGGGTAGATTTTTAACTCAAAATTTGGCCTGGGCAGCGCCGCTACTCTTTTTTGATTTCCAACTGCCAAGGGATTTTTTACGTGTGCCTGAACTCGGGACCTCTAGCACTCGAGGCAGACACCATACCTCGAGACCACGCATCCCCCTCCACCCAAGTGCCATATGATCTATAAAATTTTGGCCTTGCTTAAAACAGTCCTTTACTTTTAGATAGCAACAATACAAGCCTCAGGCATAAGTCCCATCTTGTCAAACATTCTTCCTTGCCCCAGAAAATGCAGGTAATAAAGAATAAATGTATGGTGAATTGACTGGTACTGAATGAATTGACACTGTGTGTATAACAAATATTTGTTTCATGCTAATAATTAAGTAATAATTCCTGCAGGGGTTCCAGAACCTCACTGTGGGACATGGCAGGAGATGGCAACAGACCCAGTGCTTACAACAAGCATGTCCTAAGAGTTGACTAATTAGGGCTTTCCTTTGAAGTTGGAGAAGCAAGGAACCAACAGTCTGCACACAAATAAGCCAGCTCTGTCAAACAGATGTGCACATGCAGCCCAAGTTCTAGAACAAGGCCAAAGTCACAAACAACCAGAATTTTTTGCCAGTTTACCACTGGTGAAGGCAAAGAGGAATTAAGTGATAACAGAAATATCTGGGCATCAAAGTTGTTGGTAAACAATAACAAATTTAGGATAACAATTAACAAAGTTAGGATAACAATTAACAAAGTTAGGATAACAATTAACAAATTTAGGATAACAATTAACAAATTTAGGATAACAATTAACAAATTTAGGATAACAATAACATCTCCACTTAAAGACCAGAGAGAAAACACAGCAAGTCAGTACTGTAGAATTTACCTTGAGATGCTTGACTTCCAACAGAAGGCGGAGCCTGCTGACCCGGGTAAGTGGGACCCGGGTGTCCATAAACTGACCCCTGACCCTGGTATGGCGGCTGTACCTGGTTTGGATATGGCCCTGGTCCACCCAGTTGACCCGTGCCAGGATAGGGACCTTGTGGAGGCTGTCCCTGAGCAGGGTATGGAGCTTGACCGGGCTGACCTATTGTGGACAAAAACAACAAAGGTAACACTTTAGCAAAGATCGCTGAAACACCAGGGAAATGATGGAAAATCCAATGATATGGGCATGTAAGATGATCAAGGGCAGAGGTTCTCAACCTATGGGTCAAAGCCCTTTATGGATTTGAACGGCCCTTTCACGTGTGTCGCCAAAGACCATCGTAAAACACAGATTCACTGGAGTTATGATGTAACAGCGAAAACAATTTTACGGTTGGGTTTCACCACAATATGAAGAACTGTATTAAAGGGTTGCGGCATTAGGCAGGTTAAGAACCCCTGATTTAGGGCATGTAAGATGATCTATTGGCCTCTCCTCATTTATTCTAGAGGGCTTGATAGTGGGGAAGAAGAGAAGAGACAGACACACAAAAAAAGGTCTGGTTACGGACATATAATCAAACTGCTACTGGTACCAAGTGAATTGGAAATCTTTGCTGGCTGCTGAATGGGAATGTCTGAGTGCTGTGATGTCAGTTCTTAATTCAACACTAAACGTTTTTTCAGCATCCTATATTCCTAGTTTCCACCGGGCAGAATACCACTTTAGGGTATCAAGGTCCTAAAAAAGCTGACACTTGGTGCTAGTGGTTTCTGAAAAAGAACAAAGATTCTTTAGAAAACTGCCTGCAGTATATTTCTCACCTGGAACATGTGCAATCTGGCCTGGGTAGGGTGCTGAACTCTGTCCGGATGGTGGATATCCTGGAGTTACACCAGGTGCTACTGCTGCTGCTTGTGGGTATGGTGTCTGGCCTTGAGGATAGGGTGCTGAACTCTGTCCAGATGGTGGATATCCTGGAGTTACACCAGGTGCTACTGCTGCCGCTTGTGGGTATGGTGTCTGGCCCTGAGGATAGGGTGCCTGACCTGCTTGTGGGACCGCTGCTTGACTCTGTGATGGAATGGGTGCTGGACCTTTATGTGGATATGGACTCTGGCCTTGTGGTGGATAGGGTGTCTGACTTTGCTGGGGATAGGGCATCTGACCTTGTGGATAAGGTGCCTGACCTTGCTGTGGATAAGGTGGTTGACCTTGTTGCGGATAAGGCACCTGACCTTGTTGTGGATAAGGCGATTGACCTTGCTGCGGATAAGGTGCCTGGCCCTGTTGGGGGTAAAGAGGTGGATTTTGCTGGGGATAGGCAGCTTGTCCTTGCTGCGGGTAGGGTGTGTAACCCTGGCCTGCTCCAGCCTGAGTACGGGGTGCAGGAACAGGAGGAGTTGGCACCGGGCCCTGTGCTGGGTAGGGTGCCTGCTGAGAAGCTGAAGAAATTTAAAAAAAAAAAAGAATAAAGAACAATCAAAGGACATATAGATTTAGCACATACACTTCCCTATTTTGTTATTTTTCACTTTTCAATTATTTATTTGCTAGCAGATTTCCATCTTTCCAGATAATTGTATTTCAACTGCACAGAATAGGGGGAATTAAAATGTATGATAGAATCACTAATGAAGGCCTGGAAGGAATGATGCACCTGGGTGTGACCAGAGGGTCTTGCCAGTTCACTACACTTAGAGGAAAGGCAAGACAGCTGAAGAAAAGACGTTGGATAGGGACATGCGCTGGAAAAAACCTGAGAACAATATAAATAGAATGTCTTTGCGCTGGAACCCACAGCGGCAAAAATACAGGGAGAAGGGATCTAGACAGTGAAGTTAAAAAGATTTGGAGGACATGGGGACAGCTGCATGCAATAGCAAAAAATAGAACAATTTGGCGTGAGTTGGTTAAGGACCTATGAACCCATCAGGGGATAGAAGGCAGACAAAGAAGAAGAAGATGGTATTACACCTATTTCTTATCATTCTTTCACTTGTCATTAATACTCTCTGCATCCTTCTCTTTATTAAACATACATGGATTTTAGTTCCCATGAATGCATTACAATAGTTGTATGGTTAATGTCCTTTTAGGACACATCCTTGACTCTTTTGGTAAAAATTAAAGTAAAGGACCCTTTTCCACATCTTGGGGTGTATAGGGCATTTAGAGATAGACCTATATTTTATAGCCCAATCTGCACTCAGAGGGTGATGTGGTCAGCATCAGGCTGGGTGCCTTCTACTTCCCAGGACTTAACCTGGTACCCTTTCAAGGCTGGCTCAACATAAAAGCCAAGGTCAGTTTTGAAAAAAAAAAGAAAAAAAAAAGTCCAGCTCATTCAAACCCATGAACTTCAGATCCACAGGTGAGCTTCTAGCCCCTACACCAGAGCAACCCCCAGTTCACATGAGTACATTTCATTAAAGACAGGATGGATTCAGAGAAAATGGTTTGAGTCCTGAGGAAATTTCACCTGATAAGAATTTGTGTGCCAGGACCCTCTGAGGTAAGAGGGAATGAACGAGCGGACTGGCTTGCTGACAGGGCCATGGTAGGTGCAGGATAAGCAATGGACGCTGAATGTGCAACATTCAAAAGACTACAAGAATTTCAGGCTAGTACTGTCGCCATGGACTCAGCAAATCTGGATTTTGTTTCGACAGAAAAAATCCACAACTTTACCGAGGATTCGAACCTTGGTCTCCCTCATGACAGCATAGCATTCTTAACTGTTCTGCCAGCCAATCCTCAAACACTATTATAGGCAGTAGAAGTAAAATTTACAATTCAGATTAAATAGTTAATGTAATAGCTGTCCACAATAAAAAAAAAAACAGAGTAAGAAATTTAAAGAGTTAAATTGTAATAGAGGCCTACCTAGAAATATTCTAGCTTACTCCTTCTGTTTATTTTGTTCCTATTCTGGCCTGCTACCTGAAGGTGCCTGACATCCATAGATTACAAAATCGCAATGCTGATAGCAGAACAACAGGGTAAATATTAAATACCTTGTTCTCCCTGTGTGGGATAACGGGTTTTCATTTTGAAAACAAAGAACAGAACCGCACCTCTTTTCCAACAAACATGTTCTAGAAGGTAATTAATTAGAGATGTTTCTTTCAAAGGTGGAGTGCACCTGCCTGAGAGGCAAGGAACAGACAGTCGGTCAAATCTGTAAGATGGATATTCTTTTTCTTCTTCTGCGTTCATCCGAAGATGTTATTGCGTTGTGTCTGTTTACAGCATGGCTGCGATATTTGCAATTTTCGGCCAACACATCTGACTTCTGCGGGCATTTGTTGACCGGGTTAGCCTTCCCGGGTAAGATGGATATGTACATGGACTTCCGTTTTCAAAATTGCGGATAGCAGCTGTGTTTATTTTCGCTGGCTGTCAATTCTCTCGGATTATTCTGTTTCATAATCATGGACTGCTATTTTGTGTGCATTTCCAACGCAGCTTACTATGTGTTTTTCGTGGCAGCAGCGTGTATTGTGGTTGCGCTATGTCGGGATAATAACCGATAGTTTTGGCAGCCTCTACCATGCTGCCTTCACAATGTTTTGATCGCGGTGGTCCACTCGGAAAGACAGAATCTCGTCAGCAGGGGACTGCAACTGTCTAGAGAACAAACTCAAAAAAAAAATGGTCCCCAGAAACGGAATGTGTCAACCATATATTTGGTGGGGAGGAATCGACTCATGCGGTTAACTCAATAGCCAGGCCATATGCACATAAAACTCAAATACTGGAATAAGACCAAAGTCAAGAAGTGGGCGAACATCCAGGACTTTCTGCCGAAAGTTTACAGCCAGTAAACAGTAAGAAAAAGAAGTTTCATCATGATCATTACAGTCAAACCATAAACAAACAGGTGGAAAGCAAAGGGAATCCACCACTACATCTACCCTTAGCAAAATTTTCAAGCAATACAAACACAAAATATACAAACCTGGTCCTACACCTGGCTTCTGTGGAAACCCACCCTGAACTGGATATGGGGTTGACCCCTGAGCCTGTGGATACTGGGGAGTTCCAGATCCTGGATATCCATGCTGTGACATTTCAGTACTTATCCACTTATAGATGGTAACACTACTGCCTTTGGTTTTCACAATTTAATGATGGTTTCTATCTGCAAAATTAAATAAACAAACAAAACAGCTATTAAACACTCTACCTCAGCCAGTGCATAACATGTTTCACAAGACGTATGTCTTTGCTTTAGACAAGTTACTATAAGCAGATTAATCAGTTTGATTTATAACAGCTTTTCCTCTATGTATGAAAGAACAAATGAGCGAATGAAACATTTTCAAAGGGTCACAAATTGGGCACTCAGGCATGTCATACATTCGGCCCTCCCAAACTCCCATCTTTCACACATCAGTTGTTTGTTATATTCATTAATATTATGCATATTATGAATATTTTTTAAAAAAAGCACGGGTGGAAAAATGCACGCACACACATGTGCCCACCCACAAATATACATACATACACACATTATCACACACATACATACATTACAGGCATGCATGTACACAGACACAAACATAGACATACACACGCTGACACAGACATACATGCAGACACAGACATACATACAGAAACAGACATGCATGCAGACACACACACGTATGAATGAATACAGGTGCAGGAACCTTTTTATACCTAGGGCCATTTGAATGATTATATTACTTCTTGCATTTCTAATGTTGGACTGTTTGTGTTAGCACTTCTGATGGCTATCATATGCTTTTAATGCATTTGTATGCTAGAGCATATGCTGAGACAGCAGTCTGTCAATCTTTCCACAAGGGACTGTGATAAACATTCTGTGTGTTTTTCGTTGGCACAGGAGCGGAGCAACTATGGGGTGAACTGTTTGCTATGAAGCTGAAACTAAGATTAACAGTGTTACTTCTTGTTGGCACCTTTCTGCCTTCCTAGACAACAGTGTTAAACTGTCCTACAGGGAGGCCTAGTAAACACAACCCATCACAGTGATGGTAATTGTGACTCGCTCATGTTGAGATAGGTCTTTCACAATTAGAACAATGGGATTACAGGACTGTTGTTTCACAGACCAAATTGGGGGTTTGATAAGGATGAAGCTCCTCCTCTATAGCAAAAAGCTTGGGCAGTTTTGTACACATCATGTAATGCCAATGCATCGAGATCCCTCTCTCGGCCTGCCTTGTTTACTTAACTCTTTGAGTCCCAAGGAATGCATCATACGTTCATGGCTTCCTACCTAGAAGCCCAATCAACTCCTGATGCGCCGATGTTATGACTTTATTTACTACCCCCTGGGCCTGTGATGCTAAACCCATTGGGACTCAAAGAGGTAATAGGAAAGGTAGCGCCAATATAATACTACTATATGCTCTGAAATAGGTAGAGATGGGAGCATATGAACATTGTCAGGAGAAATCAGCACAGTCTGAAGGCCTAGAATGGGCTACAGTAAAATTACTAGTGGCAGGAAGAGTGAAGATCTGCAGATCCTTGAACTCCTAGCTGTATTTATTTAGAACCAACGAATCTCTACACATTTATTGGCAGCCCCTTACATGATATGCTTTTATTTTAACTTGTGTTCACTAAGCTGTTTCTGTATCCATTAATTTTTTTTTTTTTTTTAATTCTTTTAAAAATAAAATAAGGTGTACTGCCTGAAAAAAAAGGCTTCACTGTATCCAACTTGGAGCTTTTACTTCACAAATATCTAAAAAGTTCACTTAATATACATTAAACTTAAAATCTATTCTTTTTTTATACAATTTGTTATAATTAATACATAATCTATGCTATATTAAATAACCAAAAGTAATCGATAAGCACAAATATCCAGTACTGAAATAAAAGAAAACAACAAATCCTAATTAATTACAATACGGATGTGTTAAACAAGAAAATAATGCTTAAATTACTCATACTGCAAGGTTATTATTTAAACTCTTTTAGACTTATAATTTAAAAGTTTAAAGTAACTGCTTTATATACAGAATGGGTTATAGCAACAACTGCAACAACAAACAATCAGTAAACATTTGTTATACAGGTAACAAACAGAAAGTAACCTATTTTAAAATTGACCGTGTATAAAATTATATGGGCTAGCATTTGTTTAAAAGATGTGTACACAATGAGCTTATTTGTTATCAGAAATAAAAATAAAATTATTTACTTTTAAAGCACTTCTAAACTTCTGTGAAAAAAAAATTACTTCTGATATTTATATTAATATTATAATCTGGTTAATATTTGTCAGTGAATGCCAAACTTTACCTCAGGTAAAAAGTTTTTATTAAGTAGATAATCAGGTAATTTCGCAAAATGTTACTATATTTATCTATCACAGACCTTTGCCTTATCCTAAAAATGTCGTCAACCTACCACTTTGACG